CTACACTTAGTGATGAGACAGACCTATTGTCTTTTGACTCCCTGCTGCATCTTTCCAAGGTCACTGCCACGCGTTCTAGCCTTCAGGATTGGAGCAGCGCACCCGCGGGAAGCAGATGTTGGAGGGAGCCAGGGCCCTGAGGCAGAAAACTGCTTTTCCTGCCTGCTCCCCAGTCTCCCTCTCATCTGGCTGAGTAACAGCCAGCCCTGACCCTGCAGGGGCTGGGGAAGGGGAATCCCTGTGGGTTTCATGTGCCCCACCTGGGAGGAGGAGCACATTCCCAGGGAACTGCCAAGGTCATCCCAACCACTGGCAATGTCTTCTTTCCAGGATTGCAAGGAGAAAAATAAGCCTTCATTTCAAGCCCCCTTTCCCCATAAATAGGGCCTGCATCCACTGCCTGAACAAGTCAGTACTACATTGCAGTCTGAGTAGCTTTTGAATCTTCATAATGTGCCATTTTAGCTAAGCAAAATCTTAGCAAAGCAAGCCCCAGATGTTAAGTACTCTAGGCCTGATTCTCTTTCCGCACAAGCCTTACCCATTTAATTCAGCTGCGCTGGACATAGGCAATATTAATTTAGCCTAGCTTAAGGGAGGGGAGAGCCATGTCCTGCGAGCACAATGCTAATGGATCAGATTTAAGGATTCCTGATTAAAACTGCTCTGACAATTTGCTTTCAAATGAAAAAAAGGAAAATCTATTATGCTTGGAAAGTACGATGGAGTGAAATTCAGCTGGGGAGCTTCAGTGTTGTGTTCCTTAACTGAGGCATATACTTTGCCTACTCAGAAGAAAGGGAGAGAACTCAGAGCTTGAAACAGGACACTTGCAAAGTCAAGGACAGGGCTGCTTCCTTGACATTCAGTGTCTGGAAGACTTTTCGTTACAGCTACCTCAAAAGCAGCCTGACAAATTTCTTTTTACAGAGTGGGGAGACCGAACTATGCAAAAAACCTGCAGGAGTGAGAGTAGGTCTGGTTCTTGAGCTGCTTGGACACAGAAATGTGAGACCCCATGACAAATTAGGGCCATTTTTTCTGATACCTCAAAGAGCTTTGATCATTTGTTTCACGCAGCGCAGCCTAGCTCAAGCCTTAGTCTTGGAGTGACAACTGATAGCTCCCCAAGACTGCTATTTATCTTGCTGCTGCTTTTTGGGGGAGGCCATGGGGGCCTTGTGTGTTTGTTTGCTTTCCAGGTTCTCTCACCCCAGGATCTATCCCTTGTGACAGTCCAGAGAAATTATAAAAGCCTTCACATTCGATGTATAGACTTCTCTTTCCTCAGCTTTTCCCTTCAGGCTTTTTCTCTTTTCTCTTCACTGCTCGGACAGTGAAGAATTTCTTTCCTGTCCGAGCCCCCAAGGTCTGGAACAGCCTGCCACCGGAGGTGGTTCAAGCACCCACATTGAACACCTTCAAGAGCAAACTGGATGCTTACCTTGCTGGGATCCTATGACCCCAGCTGACTTCCTGCCCTTTGGGCAGGGGGCTGGACTCGATGATCTTCCGAGGTCCCTTCAAGCCCTGATGTCTATGAAATCTATGAAATCTTTCTCTCTTTGTGTCACGTTATGTGATGACTCTCACCTGCAGTGGTTTCAAACCTGATTTAGCAGCAGAGTAGCTTAAATTTTAGACTCTGTTGTCATTTTTTCAAAAACATCTCATTGTGCTGAATTTCTTCCATGCTTCTTCTCAACCCAATAGATATTTTAAGGAAGTTTAGAGGGAAAGACAACCTTTAAGTACTTGTTGTGTATTATGTGAGGCTGAATTTTTTTTAACTTATTAAAATGTTCCTCTGACCCTAACAGAACATGGGTAGAAGAGCACCAGGCTGTTCGTTCTGGTGCATTATGTGCCGTCTAGTCCTTTGCATATGTGCCTATTAAGAGTAAATAAGTAATTCTGGATTATTTTGTGTATACCATTCCTAATTAGATCTTAAAAAATAAAAAGTGGTTCTGGCCTACACGTACCCTCACAGGGTGGCACAGAATTCACATGACTGTGCCCAACAAAGCAGGTGGGCAGTGACAAGACTCCTGAACCAGATGGATTCCAAACAGGACGGCCGGGGCAGGGCTTTCAGAAACTATACAGGAGGCAAAGAATTTCTTTGTGACTAAATGTTCAGAGTTTCTGTGCTTCCAAAAGACTAGTTGTCCAATTCTTCCAGCAGTCTGTCTCCCTGCCTGTCTTGGTCTGTGCTGCGCTGGCCTGTCAGGCCATATGCCTCCTTCCCTAGGAGTAGTACGTTTTCCCTGCTCGGGGTTTCCACAAACAAGATTGTTTGCACCCCCGCAACACGATTTCCCTCGTCGTCTTCAACGTGGCCGTTGCTCCCTTGCTCCGTAGAGGCAGCCCACTGACTGTGCACGTTCGGTGCGCGTACGCACAGGCTTGGCGGCACCTAGTGGTGTTTCTTACCCCCCTACCCAGTCCATCGGCCTTCCCAGAGCACCGCGTCTCCATCCTCCCGCCGTTATTTGTTAGCGATCAATATTCAACTATGTTTGCGATGGACTGAGAATGGGACCCCATTATGCTCTGTGCTGTACAAATGGGTACCACGCAACCAGCAGGACGAACATCACGGTGCCAGCAAATAGCACCTGCTTCCTGCAGTTCCTTGAGGGGACTGAAGATAAGTGTCGTACGGAGGGAGCCAGATGCACGGAAAGAAACCTGAGGGCACAGGAGCTTTTCACAGACGGTGGTCTGGAGGGTAAAGCAGGGGAGAAGGGTATGAGAGGGACAAGCGTGGACTGAAGCTGAGGTGAGAACGTGAACGTCTGGTGCCTCCCGAGTCTGGGGGGCACCTGCAGAAGCCGCCCGGTCAGGGGGCACCAGCCCTACCGACAGGAGCAGTGTCAGCTGTCGGGGGGCAGGTGCGCCCCGTGCACCCCCTACCAGCCGCCGCCGGCGGGCGAGAGGACGGCGCGGGGAGGAGCGCGAGGACTCAGTTATCAGCACAGGGCGGCGACAGCCAGGCAGCGCCGCAATTCTCCGCGCGGCTCAAGGTCTGCCTTTCGT